GAAGGTGAGGATCTCCAGTTGGGAAACTGCTTTCCAAGGCACGGGAACAAGGTGATGGGCAAGGGGCAGGAGAGGAAGGTGTTTCTGCCATTGCCACACTGACTCCTGGAGCGGAGAGATGCCTTATAAACCATGAATTGGGGCAGGCAAGAGAAATACAGTTACTCGGGAAGGGGAAAAGTAGCAATTTAAAAAGATATATCTATCTCTAGTGTATTTTTCTTCCCAAATGAGTGTATTGGCTGAGGTTGTGAATCATCCTTGGCTGTTGTTTGAAATGCCAAATGTGCCTTGTGGGTTTTTTTGCCTTTTTTTTCAAGTTCTAAATGAGAGTTGCACAACTTGTGCCATGTAGCACAGCTCTGGTTGGTTGGGTGTGAATACCCCACACCAGCTGCCTGGGGATGGTCATGGAGGGGGATTCCTGTGCTGCCTTCCCTGCTCCTGGCTCTGACCAGGATCATACCAGAGTATCTTGTTTTCCTGACTACATCTGATGCTTTAGAAATCACTTTGCTGAGCCAAAACTCACCTCTCTCCCTGTTTGTTTTGCAATGATCATGGAAGAAAAACACCCCAAGTGTTCCCTACTCATGTGCTTCCAATGATGCTCACTGTCCTTTATCCCCCTAGCTGGGGCCTGAGGGCACAGGTGGATCTCAGCAGGTATATGCAGTAGCTCATATATTAGTTGCATTTAAAGAGCTTTAAGGTGCTTGCTATTCTTAATGAGCAATTGACAGCTCTTGGGCTGCTCTCCATGTGCCCAAACCCTTGAGCATGTCCCCTCTGTGTCACTTGGGATCTGGTTTGTGTTGTAAGGTTGTAGCTAGGTAAATTCCAGGGAGGCTGTGCATTCCACAGGGGTATAAATAACAATCTTTGCTCCTCAGCTGCACTGGGGACCTGTGTGCATGCCTATGCAAAAAAATAGCACTTTGGGATAAACAGTCTCAACCCATTTTTTTTTGGCAGAAAGGCATTTTAATGTATTCCTATAAAAATAACACCTCCAGAGCTGAAATGTGGATACCAGGCTTCATTTGAGTTTTTTTTGTCATCTGCATAAAGAAGCTTAATGATAAACTGAAACCTGTTTTCATCTTTATCTTTGTTGTGCAGGACCAGAGTGTTTTACTTCACTGATAAGAGAAAATACCTCTCCTGAGGCATAGCAAGGAGAGCTCCTGCCCCATTATTGCCCTTACAGAGAGCAGAAGTACATGCAGAACTAGCTATGAATATGTGTGCTCTTTGCTCATTTGTTTTATTTCCATCTCACTTCTGATCTGTGAAAA